CATGACCGGACGACTCTTCTGCCATCTTCTAGTTTACGGTTGGCACAATTTCTGACGTGGGGCCTCGGGGAAATTTGCAATCACATTTGCTGCGATGGAGCATGGATTTCGTGGATTAAGGAAAGCCTACGTTTGACTAGAATTCAAATATGTCTGCTTTGTCGCTCATTCATCGAAAGACGGCGGAGCCATGAAACAATATAGGCTCTTTGTCGGTCCTGCTCTTTGTCGCTTGACTCTTCGCTTGCATGCTCTTTCCCCTTCTGTAGGGCTAAAATTGACTTTTTTTGATCCAGTGAAGCGAGCAAATGTGCACGGATGGCTTGCACTTCATAATACTCGATTTTACTTCTACGATTTATATTTTACGGATTATTTTCGATTGCACGATTTCCAAATAAGTATCGAGGTAGGGCTTCTAAAATTGCTGCACAAAAAAATAATAAGTTTTGCTGCAGTGGAAAAGAAGTTAGCAAAACCGAAGTCCCATTCTGTATGATTGTGACGATAGCGAATTCTTACAGCATTGTGATTGCGTAATAGCGTAGTTTTCACGAATATTTATATTATAAAGCATGAAGTGAGAAATGAAATTCACCTTCCCGTGGACACCAATAATGAATTATTTTTACCACATTAAATTCACAGCTTCATTATAGGCTCACGCCACTCTTTTCATGTACAGTAATTACCAGAGAGGATAGATCCATTATGCCAATTATATAGGGTCATTTCAGCAAAAAATGGTATGGCTGAAGTGGTAGAACAAAGATAGGTTTCTTTGCCTCTCATATTCATTGGCATAATAAATTAGCATTCATATTTTTAAATACCTCACCTGTAACTCCTTTACAGGTACATAGGAGCACCAGATGCATCTGCATCAGGGGCGCAACCAAGGGTGGGTGGGGGGGGGGTTCAGACCCCCTGAACCCCCCCCGTCCCCCAATCTGGGGGGGGGGGGGGGGGGGGGGGTTCAGACCCCCTGAACCCCCCCGCCCCCCAATCTCTGCTCACGATGGTATCTCTCTACTTCTCCATCCCCCTCTCCCCCAAGGGTGGGGGACGCAGAAAGATATCATGGGCAAACTACCTCAGAGAGCGAGGCTGGAAAGGCACAAAGATAGGAGGTGAAAGGTGAAGGTCACGCCAGTCACTCCCCAGCTACTCACGTTAGTAAAGTGAATCTGTCAAGGAAACGTCCTGCACATGTGACGCTGCTGAATTTTTTCTGGAAGCGGAAGGACGACGATTGAAATGAAAGGCGTGAATCACGTGCAGGTTAACGAATTTCCAGTTGCATGTATCCGTTGTGATATTTAGGCTGAATCCCGAAATTAACTTAGTTCCTATTAGGTTTTTTTTTCCAGGTATCGAATGTGCTTTAATCATTTAGAGTTCTAAATTACGTTTCCGCCATTTCATAATATTGTCGTTTGAAAGCGACTAGAGGTGGACCAAGGAAAGCCTTTTTGATATATTGAGTATCAAAAAAAGTTTAAAACCTTTGCGAGTCGAGTCATGGTTAACGGAGATGCGATGGTCAATTCAACATTGAAAACAGGGCGGCGGTCATGGCAGTGCAACTCAAGTTGAGGATTCACGGCTGGAAGCACTTCGGGTTTCGGTACGGTTACCACGATTATTCCAGCCCTTTGAAAAGCCGTATTGATCTCATTGGAGAAGCCTCGTTTCGTGCGATAAGTCCCCAATTCTCGGAGACGCTTTGTGAAGGAACTCTGACCTAGATCTCTCCTCGTCCTCGATGTGCGGCGAAGCTGAAAGGAAGGCATTTTTTCAAGTGGAAAAAAGGAGGTAGGATTGGGAATCGCTGCGTTTTCGGTACATATCAATGGATGAAATCCCGCTTCCCCCGCTAAGGAAGAGATGGAACTGGTCCACGGGGCTTCCAGCCTATATGAAGCTCAGGTTACGGAATGCCTTTTGTACCTGTAGGATAAAAAATGCATGGAACGCGTGATGTGGTGGCTCCACCTTCCGTGACCACCTTCAGGAGGAGAATAGATGCCTTCAAGAAGAAAACAAACTGGAAGTGCCTACGCACTTATCAATCTTTAAGGGCGGGTAGGCTCATGTTATTATTTATGAACGCTGTAGGCATACAAGGGACGTCACGATGGGAAGGATAATTGCTTCTTCGCGTACCTCTTCGAACCTTAAAAAGAAATGCAAGTTATGAATTGTGGAGCTGCATAAGTTCTGCAGTTTTCCCGTAATTTATCAGAACATCAGAATCCACCAGTCGGTCTCCTTAAATGATAAAGTTTGACCCAATTCGCGTATACACTGACGATATGCTAGTGTGCCCAGTACCATCAATATATAATAAAGTCAATACTCCAACAGGCACTTCTCGTCGATGTTAATTACATCCCATAATTGAGCCTGGCAAATAAATTGTCCCTAAAATATTCATGCTCGAGGCATGCACGATAGACGGAATGGCCTCGACGACGGCCTCCCCCTTCCCCATCATCGTCCAAACATCCAATTGTTTTTCTGGGCCCCCCAAGATGCCCTCAAAATATGCTGCTACGCATCGAACCGACGTTGGACACGATGCGCGAGAGCGCAATGGAAGGAGAAAATGGTTATAATGTAGATTTTGTGCTTCTTAATTGCATTAGACAATTTTCACTATTTTCAACATCGAACATAAAAATCAGTTTGGACTGTATTACCGGATTTTCCGGACCGGATTTTCCAATTTTTTTGACATTTTTAATTGGACTGGGGAAATCCCCGGTCGAAAGATGGACACGACACCGAGGAGACTTGAGGAATCTCCTGTGACATCCCTTACGGAAATGTCCTATAGGAAACCTATAGACTTTCCTATAGGTTTTTTAAAGGCGAAAAACCTACAGGATCCTTTAGAATCCTATAGAATTCCTATAGGGTATTATAGGTCTCCTGACCAATAGGATTCGGGGAGGATATTTTGGGTTTCGAAACCCAGGCATTACGACGGAAAAGGCGACCGGGGTTAATATTGGCGCAGCATTTCGGTGACAATCAAAAACCGATTAGGGGCTTTTCCATGGTAGAGAGACATGCATTATTAATACCAGTACTGCGGGGTCTGCATAATTTAGGGCCCCACCACACATGTGTCGCTGGATTGCACATCTACTTCCTTCGGAAAGGAATAAGTAGTATTCTTCTCTCGACCTAAGGAAATAGAAGACAGAACCTGCGAGCACGTCTCTTTACTGAATTTACATTAGGATAGAGTCTACTCAGAATTTTTTTTTTT